TATCAAGATCGATCTTCCAAACAAAATCTCACTAATGGCACCTCAAAGAATTTGATCTAACTTTTAAGGGTAGATTATTTGCTAAGGATTTAGGTTACTCATTCATAGGCCCCGTTCGGGAGGGCTTAAAATCCAATTAAAATTGAAAATATGGCCGTTATTGGGTCTCACCCGTCTAATAAAAGTCAACCATAACGATTATATTTTCAATTTTAATTTGATTATTCTCCGTATATAGAAAAATTCTAATAATAAAAATAAAATCTTATTAAGATAATGCATCCAATTTTATCCAATGATGAGATCCATATATTTTGACACTTTGCAAATTGTATCTCACCATACATTGAAAGTCTCTCGTGATCATGGATACTCCGATTATCCGCTTATAAGCAATAAACTAAAATGTCAAATATGTACTTGTACTATCAATTCCTGCATGTTTGGACAATTCTGTAGTCATATTTAGTTATTTATACCCCCATCTTTAATTTTTTTTTTTTTTCTGGTTGACCAATTCTTGGCAGTCGCCCAAGACTCGAAATTTACGACTTTGATTTGTCTAAATGGTGTGACTATGACTCTTAAGTTAGTTGAGGGTTGAGAAACAAGAAAATACAGCACTTATGATGAGTTAGTACATGAGAAAATTCAACATGGGTGAAAATGGGATACACAAATATTATAAATTGCACTAAATCAAATTTATTACTTTATTAATAATGTTTTCTTGTTTGTCTGAAGTCATTTATAATTGACGGTGAAATTCAATTAACCTATAAATCTTTTCTTTGGAAAATGATAAAAGATGTTGTCGTAAGCTGAAGCAAACCTTTTTTTTGTGGAAGACAACCCTAGGATGCATGGATTGAAAAAGTGGTGGGGTCATAACCGTCAAATCATTATGTTGGAGGCAAAAGGTGAATACAAATATAAAAGATTAAAAGTTAAGAAATGAAGAGGGTGATCAAATTATATCTATAACACTACCCTCCAATACGTAGGCTTGAACATTGTCGGCGTGACACTATGGTTGTTACTTACAGGAGGCAAGTCCTTGTCCATTTTTAAGAATACGAAGAGAATATATGGTAGCCATGTTTCTTGTTATCACAACCATTACAACACTTGTACGAGGACTGACTTATTCAAAACCGGACATTGATACTCACTTGACCATAGCTAGGGCATGGAGGTCAATTAGTCGACTAGTGGTCTGCACTCTTCTAAGTCATCTCCAAATCTTGATTCCTTTGGTCGAGTTGATTGCTTGCTCGACCATAGCAGGTGATAGTCGAACACCAACTTTGGAGCTTTTAAAGAGTCTTAATGATGGTAAGTTGTTGGACATGAACGTTAGGTAACCTACAAGTACATGTGCACATTTGTGAGCAATTTTATTT